ATCAGATTTTTTGTCCTAATGTGACTCAAATCTGATGTTTTTGGAGCTGTGTGGACACACAAATCTGATCTTTTCAAATCCGACCTGAGCCACTTTACCTGCGTTCACCTTACAAGCCTCATTGCTCAAATCTGATCTCTCTGACAGGATGGTTCACACTCGTTTAGGTAAGAGATTCAAATCTGTCATTAATGTGACGAACCGGCGTCCTGAAATGACCCTCATGAGCTCATCCTACTCGGTAACGTCACGTGAATGAATCACGTGCATCATCAGCACAAACTAACGAGCAGAACGAGCTTCGCTGAGAAGATCATTAACTCTGATCAGCTCTCAGCTTCACTATTAGAGCGAGACGAAGGAGAAAAAGGTGAGATGAGCTGCTTTTCCACTGTTTACAGGCTTTAACTTCAGTGCTGTTGCCATGGTAACGCTGAATGATGGCGCAGTGGAAAAAAAGCACATGAATTCCGATCTGAACGTCACATTAAGGTCACATGGCCACGAATCGGATAAGTATCCCACAGACCATATATAATAGTGGCTCAGGTCAGATTTGAAAAGATCAGATTTATGAGTTCACACAGCTCTGATAACATCAGATCTGAGTCACATTAGGGCAAAAAATCGGATTTGTGCCACTTCAACCTGGTAATGTGAACGTAGCCTAAAATTAAGAAAAATCTCTCTCTCCCTGACGGGTCTGTGAAATACACTATGTTAACAGAACTTTATTATTATTATTATTATTATTATTATGATTATACTCATGGAGCGAAGGTCTCTTCCATCACATGCTTATTTATGTTCCTAGATGAAAGCTTCCAAAAAACGACCAATCTGCATTTTGCTGACCTCCAAAATGGAAAGGCCAGTGCAGCGTGTCCAGATGATGTTGCTGCCTGGAAATCAAGGCTACAGTTCAGTTCATTCCTGCTCTTGCTGGATTAGGCAACCCGCTGACCAAGCAGGCAGCTGCGGAGAGCTTTCGGTTCTGAATGGACAAAGTCACAAACTCAGAGTGGTGCATAACAGAAGGTCCCAGAAGCCCAGTTTGGTTTCTGCTCTAACACACCGGACGGATGGCCAGAAGTGGCCGGGGGGGGGGGGCAGTGCCACCCTACCTTGAAGTTCCTTGTTGTAGGTTAAATTATACAGCGCTGTCTGGCTTTCTAATCATTAGACTCGTGTATAATCTGTGCATTCTAAATTAATAACCTACAAGGTCTTTCTATATAAATGTTTTTCTTAAAGTTAACGTTGCGCACTGAAAAAGTGTGGCGTTTAATTTACTTGATCTAAATACATCATTTCTTCCTAAATTACCAAAATACATTGTATCATTGTGTTGTTAACATTGGTGCTTCCTTCCTTCCACCCAATGATTGCTGGGATAGGCTCTAGAACCCTCCGCGTCCCAGAGGAAAACCGGCTTAGAAGATGAAGCAATATTTTGTTCATGTGGAAATGATGGACAATGATGGAAGTTGTGTACAAAGAAAAACCAACGCATCGTCACGTCTTATGTCATTTTAATACAGTAACGCTATTTTATTTTTTCCAAGCAGTGTGTCACCCCAATCAAATCTCTGGGTCTAATCTGGTCACCCTACTCTAAAAGTTCCAGATATACCCCGTAACACACTAACTAAGCCAGTACTCAGCTGCTGGGCTGAATCAGTAGTGTTTGAGCAGGGCAAATTATAATGTGCCTTCTATTAAAAACAGGCAAAACTGATATAAAACACATAGGAAAATACCCAGAAATGAAATCTCTCTACTTTTAACTCATATTTATCTTTTCATCTTGTATTCAGTAATTGTGCATGTGCACAGTAATAGAGTTACCTGAAGTTTCTTGAGATGTTTTAAACCAAAGTCCTTTGTTAGCCCTGATTTATATGTACACTTCAACAAACAGTCGTACATCAGAACAGCGAATAGGCTTATTCAGTAATTAGGCTAGTAAATTAGGGAGTTAGGCTGGTGAAGACCATGCCAATTAGAACAAGTCTCTTACGATTCTGGGGTGTTTTGAATGTCTGTTAGTTAGAGCTGGCCTAGGCAGCATAAAACTCTGTGTGGGAAGTGAATGTACACCACTGCTAGCTTGATGCTAACTTAACATCAAAATTCCCATAGAAGCTCCAGCAGAAATGAGCTTTGTCTTAGCGATGGTACTCAGGGTATTTATAGAGTAAACATTTCTGTATTATATGGTTCTATAATGATTTGCATGGCTGGGACAAGTTCATTAAAAGAGTTTCTTAATTTCTAAAAGGGACGTTAAAAATAGGGATGCATCGATATCGATACTGGCGTCGGGTATCGACCCAACACTGCACTCATTTACTCGTACTTGACCTCATAAAAGTTTAGTGATACCAACATCCGACACCAGCTGATAGCGTATGACATAAGCTGGGTGTGCACTGCCACGCTAATGAACACATGACATTTTAAACTTGCCCCCTTGGCAGATTCCCACCAGGCACACACTGTGTGATTTTAGCCCAACAAAACTAAGCTAACAAATCAGGCTCACAAATTCCTACCAAAGTCCATAAATGCCCACTTTACTCTGTTTGACTGAAGAGAACTGTGAAGTAGCCTGTGAACTATGAATGTTAATATAGTGTTTTTTAAACTGTCTTTGTTAACCAGGCTGTAGAGAGACTGTTCTGTCCTACTGTATATTTCGGTGAACATAGCTAAGTATAGTTAAGCTGCTGTAGCTCAGTTTCTTAGCGTGTTTGTTCAGTACTCTGTATACAGTGTGTTATTTTAAGTATGTAAGTTATCCTTTATTAATCCCACAAAGGGGAAATTCACCTCCGCATTTAACCCATCCATGCAGTGAAATACCCACATACACACTAGTGAACACACTTGCCCAGAGCAGTGGGCAGCCCTATCCACAGCGCCCAGGGAGCAGTTGGGGGTTAGGCGACCTTCTGGTCACAAGGCTGTGTTTCACATAACAGGTCAATCAGATGGTGCGTTTTTGTACAGTGCGAGTATATAAATTGTAGCTTTAGAAGACGGTTAACTGCAGCTCAACCGGCCAAGATTGTCTGGCTTTAGAAGACGGTCAACTACAGCTCAACCGGCCAAGATTGTCTGGCTTTAGAAGACGGTTAACTGCAGCTCAACCAGCCAAGATTGTCTGGCTTTAGAAGACGGTTAACTGCAGCTCAACCAGCCAAGATTGTCTGGCTTTAGAAAACATTCAACTACAGCTCAACCAGCCACGATTGTCTGGCTTTAGAAGACGGTCAACTACAGCTCAACCAGCCAAGATTGTCTGGCTTTAGAAAACATTCAACTACAGCTCAACCAGCCAAGATTGTCTGGCTTTAGAAGACGGTCAACTACAGCTCAACCGGCCAAGATTGTCTGGCTTTAGAAGACGGTCAACTACAGCTCAACCAGCCAAGATTGTCTGGCTTTAGAAGACGGTCAACTACAGCTCAACCGGCCAAGATTGTCTGGCTTTAGAAGACGGTCAACTACAGCTCAACCGGCCAAGATTGTCTGGCTTTAGAAGACGGTCAACTACAGCTCAACCGGCCAAGATTATCTGGCTTTAGAAGACGGTCAACTACAGCTCAACTGGCAAAGATTGTCTGGCTTTAGAAGATGGTCAACTACATCTTAACTGGCCAAGATTGTCTGGCTTTAGAAGACGGTCAACTACAGCTCAACCGGCCAAGATTGTCTGGCTTTAGGAAACATTCAACTACAGCTCAACCAGCCACGATTGTCTGGCTTTAGACGACAGTCAACTACAGCTCAACCGGCCAAGATTGTCTGGCTTTAGAAGACGGTCAACTACAGCTCAACCGGCCAAGATTGTCTGGCTTTAGAAGACGGTCAACTACAGCTCAACTGGCAAAGATTGTCTGGCTTTAGAAGACGGTCAACTACATCTTAACTGGCCAAAATTGTCTGGCTTTAGAAGACGGTCAACTACAGCTCAACCGGCCAAGATTGTCTGGCTTTAGAAAACATTCAACTACAGCTCAACCAGCCACGATTGTCTGGCTTTAGACGACAGTCAACTACAGCTCAACCGGCCAAGATTGTCTGGCTTTAGAAGACGGTCAACTACAGCTCAACCGGCCAAGATTGTCTGGCTTTAGAAGACGGTCAACTACAGCTCAGCCGGCCAAGATTATCTGGCTTTAGAAGACGGTCAACTACAGCTCAACCAGCCAAGATTGTCTGGCTTTAGAAGACGGTCAACTACAGCTCAACCGGCCAAGATTGTCTGGCTTTAGAAGACGGTCAACTACAGCTCAACTGGCAAAGATTGTCTGGCTTTAGAAGATGGTCAACTACAGCTCAACCGGCCAAGATTGTCTGGCTTTAGAAGTCGTTCAACTTCAGCTCAACCGGCCAAGACTTCAACTCAAATCAAAAGACTTCAACAAAATGTAAAACTCCACAAGTGAGCTTGTTTGTTTGATTCCTGCTGTCGCAAAAGAGACAGATGAAGATCAAAACTATGAAATGTACTTTACTAACAGCTGTACAGAAGAACTTTTCTGACATGGAACAAAACTCTCTTCTCCACTGCAGCACTACTCCATCCAAGTTAGCTAATGTGGCATATTTAGCTAATGCATTTTTTAAAATTTAAAATCAACTAGATTTTACTGATTTAACTGTTACAGTACATTTCACTCATTTACACTAACAAATACTTCATTCTAAGTAGGTTAGTCAGTATGATGAGTACTAAAAAATATGTACTCGGTCTGAAAAAATCATATCAGTGCATCCCTAAAAATACTTAAAAAGCATTTGATACCTTTGATAAAAGATTTGATGCCCTGATGACACATATTTTAAGCTGTCTCTCACAAAAAAGCATTGCTATAAAACAGTAGATTGTTTCATTATTAATATAATCTACAGTGAGAGCCCTATATGTGTTATTACAGATGTGTTATCACAGATAATAATACAAGAGGCAAAGCACTGCTGTTTTGGATATATTTAGTCTTATATTATGAAAATAAAATTAAGTAAATACAAACTTGACACAAACAACAGAGAACACAGTGTAGCATGTCATCATAAATCAACAGATTAAATAAATAGATTTTCTGCATTTCAAATTAATTCTACATTAATCAACTTTAACAAATGTTAAATGAGTAGCCTCCTCTATGTGCTCACTGAAACACGGCTGATATAACAGGGCTTCAAAAACGCAAATGAAAGCGTTTGTGATTTATAATTTTAAAGTGCAGAAGCAGATTTGATATACAGTCAACACAACACACTGTGATCCATCACCGCACAGAGAGCAGCGCCGTGAAGGTGTTCTGAGTGTTGAAACTGCAGGGGATTAAATATGTGTTTGCACACGCAGCCCTACCCCGGTGTTCACTCTGAGGAGCTGCCGGTGATCTGCAGCAGGAAGATGAAGATCTGTACGATGTCTACGTAGAGAGAAAGAGCTGCGAAGACGTACTCCTCCGGGCTGATGGTGTGAGCGCGGTTCCCTATCAGCACCTGAGTGTGATACGCCAGAAACTACACAAGACAGAAGCACAGAAGTTCAGTTCAGACCCAAACTAGCAGCCAACGACTGCATGAAGACTCTAGTGGTGAGCAAGTACAGTAAGGCTTTGTTCACACAGCAGGTAAAAGTGGCCCAAATCCGATCTTTTTCTTCATATGTGACACAGATGTGTGTCTGTGTGTCAGTGTGAACAGATAAACACACTGAATCTGACATTTTCAATTCTGATTTGAGACGCTTTCCTATGTGGTACTGAAATCCGATACGTATCCGATCTGCAGCAATGTGACTCGGTCTGAGCAGCCAGATCAGAATTCATGACTTTTGCGTCAATCCAGCTCCACATTCATCATAATTTTGCACTGCTGAGACTCATAAACATTTAGGCTGATGTTTCTGTACCAAATAATCAGAAGAGACTCATCCAAAACCCTCCGTGTTCAAAGAGATTTTGAAAGAAATGTCCGAACGCGGCCGCAGGAGAACGAGGCTGCAGCGTCAAAGAACAGTTAAAAGTCTGAAAGCAACGTTTAAAGAATCCGAGGACGCGAACCAAAGAAGTGACCACGCCCTTTTTACGCCGAGCTCCAACACGTTCTGGGTGACGAGCCCAGCTGTCAGTCAGTGAAGCTTCATGATGGCTCCTGTGATGCTGGTGAAGATGAAGCTGATCCTCCGGGAGCGACTGGCGTTCGTTGGCGGTTATGATTGTTTACCTCTGGATGAGCCGTGAAGCAGCGTGACGCTCTGTTCTTTTGCTCATGTGGGTCAGTTTAGGAGCTGATCTGTTCAGACTGATGTCACATACAATGAATAACAATTAAAACAAAGGAAAATAAACAGAAAACTAGAAAATAAATCAAAATAAAGCAATTTTCAACAGATCATATTTAAAGGATATTGTGACCAGCCAAACAACGAAATCGGATTTGGGACACTTTTACCTGCTACATGAACGTAGCCTAAGTTTGTTGTTGAGTACTCGGACGAAAAAAAGAATAAGTAATTGAACAATCACTCAAAAATCATGAAGTCTAGAACATGAGTGAAATGTATCCTGTGCTCTATTCACAGCACCAGTTTACTAAAGGAAACAGCTGGACGGTTATCTAACTTAATGCTTTTAACTTAAAAGCATTAGGTTAGATTTTAAAAACAGCAACTTTGTTATTTGTGCATTTCATATCTTATAATTTTATATTATTTATATATCCAGATCCAATGCAAATCCCATAGTAGTGCAGACTTCTACTCTGGATGTTAAAGAGCACAGGGCTGGGTTTTTTGGGGGGGCGTACCCTTGTTAGTGGCAGATTTCACCATAATTTAGCACCAAAAGTAACAAGTTTTCCTATACTCTAGTTATCAGACCACTTTGGCCCCTTGTGACTAACTGCTTTCAGAGCAGTTTAACTATTATATTTCTAAACTATGCGTAATAAATATTACATATTATATATCATAGCTAAACTATTACCAGTGGTATCAGAATCAGCAAATTTCAAACAACACTCGACCCTAGAGCTAACTTCCCTTCACAGAACGTTCTTTCTGTCTTCACAGAAATCAAAGTATTGCCACACTTGACTCCGCTGGACATGCACATGGCTATTCTACAGCCTAACATAACAATCTTTTGTGAAAATGTAGCACAACAGTACAGGAACAGTTTTACCTTAAGATCTAGGTGAGGTACAGATGGGGATTTTTATGCGGTCTAAAATAGCACAGTTTGCGATTACTTGTCAGAGAGGTGTTTATGTAATGAGTACTCGGTCAGTAGATTACTCGGGCCAATTCCTAGAAGATTCTGGTAAACTCACCAGGGTGTAGACTATCGCTCCGATCGCAGCGTACAGCATGTGAAGCCAAGGAACCTGAGAGGTTAAAGAAAGGTGGTTTTATTAACTGGACAAGCAAAAAAAGTGCTGCAGTGTGTTCAGAGCAGACAGCTCATATATATATATATATATATATATATATATATATATATGCAAATCATATATACACTACCTGTCCACTTTATTAGAAACATCTTTATTAGAAACACCACTCACTAGCCACTTTATGAGATCCCCCCACTTTATAGGTCCACTATTTTAGTGTACAGTTACAGTCTGTAGTCCATCTGTTGCTGCCCAGTTTGTCAGCCCACCCTATTAGGCTGCTGTGGTCTAGATAATACTTGGGCAGTATCCATTCTCAGCACCGCAGTAACACTGACATGGTAGCGTGTGTGGAGTTGGTAGGAGGGTATCAGCAGCTCTGTGGTCAGAAACTGACCACTGATGAAGGACTAGAGGATGACTAACGTAAACTGTGCATCAACAGACGTACAGATCTAGATGTAGATCATCTGTACGCCAGCAAGGTGGAGCTACAAGAGTGAGGAGTTTCTGATAAAGTGGCCAGGGAGTGTACACCAGTGTCCTCAGACTGGAAGTGCGCCAATGATCAGTAACACTTACATACTGAAAGGAGAGCACGATGGTTGTAATGATGCCTGTAACCAAGACAACGACTCCCATAACACACAACAGACCGGTGCAGGAGGTGAAGTCCACCTGGCCAAAAACACAACGAGTCATCCAGTCAAAAACCCTGTTACTCATATTAAAGCAGAAGTGCAGTTTTGGGAACATTTCAGCCTACAATATGTCCAAAAGTATCCGGACAGTCCTTCTAAGTAATGAATTCAGTTAGGTTAAGGTTTATCCATTGCTGATAAAGGTGTTTAGTTGCTGGAGAAGTCAAACAAGAGCATAAGGTAAACCTACAGGAGCTTTTATGAATCCCGTTCTAAATCTATAGGCATTAATATGGAGTTGGTCCCCCTTTGCAGCTCTAACAGCTTCCACTCCTCTTGGAAGCTTCTACAAGATCTTGGAGAGAGTCTGTGGGAATTTCTGTCCATTCATCCAGAAGAGCATTTGTGAGGTCAGACACTGATGTTGGATGAGAGGGCCTGGCTCACAATCTCTGTTCTAGTTCATCCCAAAGGTGTTTGACGGGGTTGAGGTCAGGGCTCTGTGAGGGCCAGTCAAGTTCTTCCACACCAAACTCACCCAGCCATGACTTCATGGAGCTGCTCTGTGCACTGGGGCTCAGTCATGCTGGAACAGAACAGGTTCTTCCCCAAACTGTTCCCACAAAGTTGGAAGTGTACAATTGTCCAAAATGTCTTGTTCTGCTGAAGCATTAAGATTCCCTTCACTGGAGCTAAGGGTTCTAGATCAACCCCTGAAAAACAGCCCCATATCATCATCCCTCCTTCACCAAACTCTACAGCTGGCACAGTGCAGTCAGGCAGGTAACGTTCTCCTGGCATTCTCCAAACCCAGACTCGTCCATCAGACTGACAGATAGAGAAGCTGATTGGTCACTCCACAGAATACGTTTCCTCTGCTCCAGAGTCCAGTGGCGGCGCTTTACTCCACTCCATCTGTTTGGCATTGTGCTTGGTGATGTAAGGCCTGCATGCAGTTGCTCAGCCATGGAAACCCTGCCTGGTGCAGTTTCTGTGCTGATGTTGATCCAGAGGAGGTTTGAACTCTGCAGTTATTGATCAGCAGAGCGTTGGTGTTTTTTATGCTCTATGCTCCTCAGCACTCGGCGACCTGCTCTGTAACTTTACATGGTCTGACTCTTCGTGGCTGAGTTGCTGTGGTTCCTAAACACTTCCACTTTTCAATAATATCACTCACAGTTGATCGTGGAAAATCCAGGAGAGGAGATTTCGCAAACTGACTCATTGCAGCGGTGGTATCCTATTACAGCACCACACTCGAATTCACTGAGCTCTTGAAAACAAACCATTCTTTCACAAATGTGTGTAAAGGCAGGCTGCATGGCTAGCTGCTTGATTTTATACAGCTGGGGCAGTAAGACCGAATGAAACACCTGAATTCAATGATTTAGGAGGTGTGTCCCAATACTTTTGTCCACATAGTGTATCTAAGTGAAGTGATATAAATGTTATAACAGACACAATTGCCAAGTTAACTGTTTCAGGGAGGAGCAAAGTGTTGTACTTGTACTACAGTCCTCCTGACATTGTTCAGACACCACTACTGGAACAGTTTCTGTTATTAATCAGGGGGTTGTGATGGGAAAGGCATGAGACATTTACCAGTTGGGCATGAATGTTTTAAGAGGGACAGGCGGTCATTGTAAGCTGAGACAAAGGGGTCATTCGATACGGCCAACAAAGGCGCGTTTCAGAGCCACCCAGTCGATCAAAGCTCCAAAGCCTACAGTACTGCAGTTTTTACCTTTGTCTGAAAACAGAAGACCGTCACAGCGACACAAACTATCGCTGTTATCCCCAGGGCCAGGAACACTGCTTTGGTGTCAAAAAAACTGCAACGAGAACATCAACTATATTATTATATTACATTATTATACACCGATCAGGCATAACATTCTGACCACCTCCTTGTTTCTACGCTCATTGTCCATTTTATCAGCTCCACTTACTATATAGGGGCACTTTGTAGTTCTACAGTTACAGACTGTAGTCCATCTGTTTCTCTGATACTTTGTTAGCCCCCTTTTACCCTGTTCTTCAGTGGTCAGGACCCCCATGGACCCTCACAGGGCAGGTACTATTTGGGTGGTGGATCATTCTCAGCACTGCAGTAACACTGACGTGGTGGTGGTGTGTTAGTGTGTGTTGCGCTGGTGTGAGTGGATCAGACACAGCAGTGCTGCTGGAGTTTTTAAACACCTCAGTGTCACTGCTGGACTGAGAATAGTCCACCAACCAAAAATATCCAGCCAACAGCGTCCTGTGACCACTGATGAAGGACTAGAGGATGACCAACACAAACTGTGCAGCAGCAGATGAGCTATCGTCTCTGACTTTACATCTACAAGGTGGACCGACAAGGTAGGAGTGTCTAATAGAGTGGACAGTGAGTGGATACAGTGTTTAAAAACTCCAGCAGCACTGCTGTGTCTGATCCACTCAGACCAGCACAACACACACTAACACACCACCACCACGTCAGTGTTACTGCACTGCTGAGAACGATCCACCACCCAAATAGTACCTGCTCTGTGAGGGTCCATGGGGGTCCTGACCACTGAAGAACAGGGTAAAAGGGGGCTAACAAAGTATCAGAGAAACAGATGGACTACAGTCTGTAACTGTAGAACTACAAAGTGCACCTATATAGTAAGTGGAGCTGATAAAATGGACAATGAGTGTAGAAACAAGGAGGTGGTCAGAATGTTATGCCTGATCGGTGTATTATTAAATGCACATTTTTCTATTCTTTGACTGTTCAAAACCCCAATATAAGTTGTTTCTATTTACAGTAACCATACAGAACAGACCGGATTGTTGTCATTTTAGGAATAAAACCTTCGACCCTTATTATGAGCTCAGATACTTGAGCTTTCAGTTCCATTGTTGAAACAGAAGCAACAACATAAGTTAGAGGCTTTGAATGAATGAAAGCCCTTGACAGTGGCCTACACATCATATTAACAGTGAGTAGGGGTGGGACGATATGGCAAAAATCTAATATCACAATATTTTCACGATACACAATATGTCACTATTTTTTTTTTATCTAGTTAAATGGGACTAATTTTGCTCTCTTTAAAAAAAAATGTGGCTGGTCAGTGTCCTATAAGTACTGACGATGTCCACAATATGTTCAAAAAACATATATTGTATAGTAAACATGATCATGATGATTTATTTGGGTCATTCTACAGAAACGTCCACTTTTCTAGCTCTCCATAGGAGTCACTGGTGTTACCGATCCTCATTGGTGTTACACATAAGAAAGGAAACACCAGAGACGTTTCTAATGAACAATGCATTTTACTAAACGGCTGCTACGGAGCATCAAACCACATGTTGTCAATCATGGAATATCCACCAAAATATGTAATTTAATCCGTTTGTATTCTATTTTTTCACAGTTACCCCAGAATAAAGTCGGTCACACCAGTGACTTCAGCTAAAAGCTTCATATGAAATCATGAGCTAAATGAGAAAATCTCTGATAACTGAAAGACACAGTGGACTCACCATGTGCTTTTCTTCACAGATCCTCAGAAGACAGGTAAAAGGAAGTTGTGATGTCATCAGCGTAACTTTTATTTCAAAATATTTTTTTTTTTTTGTTATGTGGTAACACCAGTGATACGACTCCTGGGGACAACAACTCTCATTATATATTTTATAATATTTATTTATTTTCTTTATGTCATTTAATTCATATATTTCATAGTCATGTATAGATTATTGCAGTTAAAATTGTAGAAAAAAACTTTTTTTTGCCTCAAAATATGGCCTCAGCCTTTACACATGACTATGGGGATGAGCTTTTCTGTGGTGTTTGGAATTCTACGTAATTTTTTAAAACCAATATTGCTAAATTGATGGCTCAAGAAGGTGTAACTGTTAAAATAACTTTTATTTTAAAATATTGCTAAATTGTTTTTCAAGTGTAATATATACATAAACACTAGGAACACAAAAATGGACGTTTCTGTAGAATGACCCATACATACTTATATATATGTATATATATATATATATACTTATATATATGTATATATATATATATATATATATATATATATATATATATATATATATATATATATATACAGTTGTAATACTACCCAGCCCGAAAAAGTGAGCCGTGGTGTGTATGTGACTAACCTTGCTATTGTTCCTGTCATGTAGGACATGGCAAGAGTCTGTGAAAGAAACATGAATGTAGCTGTGTTCATTTAAAAACATACATTCTGGTTTATCAAAGAAAACAGGAACAGTGCAGTCAGTCCCATCAAAAACTTGAAATCCTACACAAAAATAATCTTCTAATACTTTGAATTCTCACACTTACGAAAACTAAGAGAAGAACCAAATTCCAAGGATATCGTCTCCTGTAAATAAAGGCAAATATTAATCAACGCTGGATAAAATAACCTGAATTGGCCTGAGTGGCTGTGATGTAGTGACGCATATGAGGGTCAAACTCACCGTGGCTTCTCACAGCACACCAGCACAAGGTATACAACAAAGTACACAGCACTGTGAAAAGGATGAATCATTTATCACAGTCAGTTTCCTCACAATCTGTTCCAGTACAGTATTTTTATTATTATAAATGCGATTAAATATTGCACTGTATTAATACACTGTAATCAAATTAATAAAGGACAAAAACTCACAATGATGCCCAGTAAATGCCAGGATTCTGGATTACAAACAGACGTACGGGATCACTGCAGGATGGGACAGTAACAAACACACACACACAAAGGCTATTTCATGTGTGTAACACAAAAAAGCCTGCTTTAATTTAAATAGCTGTTTATTGATACTCACACGAATGTGAACACAGCTACAATTGAGGTTGTGAGCAAAAGCTGTGCTGCCAAAATAAGGTAGACCTGCAACACACAACATGAAAAACAGGTGAAATCTATATAACTTCTAAAACAAATATATATATATATATATATATATAATGATCTATATTCAATTTTACAGCATCTAAAAGTCACCCATTCATACAGACAGAGTTTGGGAGCATGAAAATAATTAATACTTTTAATACTTTTAAGTATTTCATACTTTTAAACTACTTTCAAGTACACACTTAAAAATGATGGTTCTTTAGTAAAGAAAATGGTTCTATATAGAACCTGAACACTCAAAGAACCCTTTACATGACTAAAGCGTTCTTTGAACAGAGAAAGGGTTCTAATGAGGAACGTGTTGTATATGTTTCTATATAAGGATTCTATATAGTACCAAAAAGTGTTCTTCTATTGTTATGAAGTGAGGCTTGTTACAATAGAAGAACCCTTTTTGGTGCTATATAGAACCCTTTTCGAAAAGGTTCTATACAGAACCATCTAGAGCACATTCTCCATCAATCTGAAGAACTCTTTCACGATGCAACGAACCCTTTAATCATGGAAAGGGTTGTTTGAGTGTTCATAGCTCTATATAGAACCATTTTCTTTACTAAAGAACCCTTGAAGAACCATCTTTTTTAAGTGTGTAGATTTACTAAAAAAGTAACATACATAGAATGTATTTGGAATACACCTTGATGAGGCACATTTGAGACATGACATTAATAATTGATCATCACATTGATTTATCAGTCTACTCAGGCTTTAGCAGAGCTCAGTAACACTGAGATTAATAACCGATCACATTGATTTATCAGTCTACTCAGGCTTTAGCAGAGCTCAGTAACACTGAGATTAATAACTGATCACATTGATTTATCAGTCTACTCAGGCTTTAGCAGAGCTCAGTAACACAGATTAATAATTGATCATCACATTGATTTATCAGTCTACTCAGGCTTTAGCAGAGCTCAGTAACGCTGAGATTAATAACTGATCACATTGATTTATCAGTCTATTCAGGCTTTAGCAGAGCTCAGTAACACTGAGATTAATAACTGATCACATTGATTTATCAGTCTACTCAGGCTTTAGCAGAGCTCAGTAACGCTGAGATTAATAACTGATCACATTGATTTATCAGTCTACTCAGGCTTTAGCAGAGCTCAGTAACACTGAAATTCATAATAAGAGTCCCTCTTTAGAGTCTGTTTAACAAGCATGTTTGTGCTGATTTTAAAATGGTTAATAATAAACAAGCATTGATGGTGTTTCTTTTAAAGACTGTATGTTGTATAAATTTAGGTGTGTAAGTTCTAAAAGTTACTAAAAATTAAAAAAGTAAATGTATTCTAAAAACTGCCTTTACCAAATGTAACATGGACTGAATGCAGTCTGTATTTAATTTGAATACATATCACCAATACTTGTATTCCTTTACATCCCAACCCTGTGTGTACAGTTAACGTTCTCAGTACCAGTCAATGCTTGTCAAACTGCGCATGCAGACCTCCTTTTGAAGAGTCACAGCAGTTCAAAGTTCATCTCACCTTTCTGATGAACGCATGCCGGACGCTCAAGCTTTCCCATAATCCACTTGCTGCGAAGCCTTCAGAGTCTCCTGCAACAACAAACATTGTTTGACTGTCTGCTCTGTCAGCTCTCTAAGTCCGTCTAAGAACGAGCAGCGACAGAAACTGCTTTGTCTGCCTTCTAAAGATGTTTTATTCTCTCCTGTAAATCTGACGCCGCTGTTTCTCAGAGCGTCGGCCGAGTAGCCGTGCAGGCTCCGCCGCCTTGCATCTGCACAGAAGCCAAACTGTTTCATTTACAGCTTTCAATAAGGCAAAAGCTCATAATGTAGAAACATCAAGTGTCTGTTAAGAGTGTCTAAACACGTCGTTCTCTCCATCTCTGTAGAGAGTGCAGACTTTCCTCCTGGCTTAGTGCCTCTCTGCTGTATTCCAGAATTCCCTTTGAGTATGAAAACAGGGCTGAGTTTGGAACAGATTACGCCTGGATGCTCTCTGAGTAGATTTTGAAAGAGTTTTGAATATAATTAATGTAGGTTTTTAATAGGGATGCACTGATGTTTTTGGCCGATGCCCGTATCTGATCTTATTTTTCATGTGCATATCTGCTGATGATACATAAAGATTTATAAAATGTACAAACTGAGGCTACATCTACTTGGATTAGCGTGGTGGACAAATATAAAACGTTTCAACAGGGTCACAAATGCAGAAAAAAACGAATAAAATGCACACATTTTAATGCAGTGACTCTTCGTTGGCTAAACATTGGGCTCTACTGGAGTTTAGTAAATACATCATCAAATATCAGTTTGAAATAACTGTCAAATCTAAATACCTGTCCGATGCCTCTAATTTATCTGCAGATATAAATGTGATCGTGATATGATTGTGTATCATTAGTTTTGACTGATCACTTTTACTGGGCAACACAATCTGGAAAACATCAGTGAGAGTTATAAGAAAAGGGCAAAAATGTACAATAATATAAGCCCACTCTGAGTGAGTTTACATGCACTCAATAATCCGATCATAATTGGATTTCCACAGTTATCTGATTATTCAAATGGTCATGTAAACCGCACACTTCGATTTCTTAGATCGGAGTAAGGTCTAGAAATCTGATAAAGAGGCTGGATTTTAGCTCAGTAATCAGATTTCTCAGTGCATGTAAACTCTTACTCTGATTTCTTTCGGATTTCTCAGTCTGAGCATGAGCGAAAACAGACGGCGGTACCGAGACGCAGCAAAACACTTTTGGAGTGACGATGAAACCAAATACATGCTTGACGAAATGAAGGATTTAAATATTCTTCGTCTTCTAGATGATACATGTTCATATTCAGATAAAGTGGTGCAATGATTTTTTAAAAAAAGCCACTCATGAAGTTTGAGTTTTACATTACGTTTACGTCGCGTCTTCTTCTGTGAGTTTATTGGCTGATTGCAAAGCAGAAATCTGATTACTGTCTGACTCATGTAAACCGAGAGTTTCCACATTATCTGATTACTCACATGCATGAAAATGCTTTGATCGGCTTACTGACAAAATCTGATTTTCTGCAGTTATCAGATTATTAAGTGCATGTAAACATCCAAAATCACACCAAATAAATGCTTGGTTTATGTTTACAGTGTATTCCACTCCAATGTAAATATTTCCCTTAGCCACATTTTTCTTAATAACACCAAATCGTACCAAAGTAAGCAAATTAAAATGGTGGAATTTAAGATTTTATATGGAATCACAATCGAATTGAACTGATTTACACCCTTCACAGCTTACCGGGGTTGGAGGAAGGCATCCCTGAAGGAGAGAAGGTTGGTATGACGGATGGCATCCCATGTGCTGGATATCCTGGTCCGTGCCACGTTCCGGCCGGAGGGTGCATCCCAGGCTGCCCTGATCCGGCGTAGACCCCTGGCTGTGGGGGGAAGCCGTACGCCGCGTATGGATAGCTACCCCCCTGCTGCTGAGGACCATACTGATGATGTGCGGACTCTTCATAACTCGGAGGAAGATCAAACTTAGACATCGTGACGTCCCTGTGAAAACAAACCATTGTGCAGTGGTCACCATCCCGATCTATAGGTCTACCTTCCGGCAGGTTTCACCTCCAGCCCAATCCAAACAAACCTCATTCAGCTAAACAAGCACTTCTGAAGACAATTAAGGACAAATAAAGGCAATCAAGGACGTCTGAGAGCATTAACTCAGTGGGGACCTGCTCAAAATCACCACACTGTGCAGGAATCTGGCCCTCCAGGAGCAGAGCTTCATAGACCTGTGATAATTAGATAATTAGATAATCTGGTGGGGTTGGTTAATGTTCCGCTCAAATCTGCGGGAAGGTTGATCTCGAGGAGAAGAACTGGAGCTGGTTTCTTTGATGGGCTGAGAACCAAATGTTTCTCTAATAACTGTAAAACAAAAAAGTACAGGGTGATTCAAAAAGATTCATCCGATTTCAAAGCGCCATGTTTTTACAACCGTGAGGCGCCAAGGAACCAATCACAATCCAACTGAAAGAGGGGGTCACAGAGTTTCTGACTGTCAGTGGAAGATGGCTCCCTTCAGTCTGAGAGAAGATGAGACCCCTGAGCAGAAAGTGTTCTGCGTTCTCCAATTCAATAAGAGAATCACTGTGCACCTTGATTTTCGTTGTCAGTGAAGCTCCAACAGCTCAGAGCGTTCGTCGTTGGTTCCACAACACTGGATGATCTCCGAAATCACACTGAAAGAGCCGTGAGTGCAGCGACACCCGACACGCTCAATCCAGTATGGGATGAGTTTGACTATGGTGTTGATGTCTGTACAGTTGGAGGAGGTTCATACTGAGACCTTGTACAATTACATAATAAACTTTATGCTCATTTAGACCATTTACAGTTCACTGCATTGATCTCTAATGATTTACAAGTGAAATGTATCATTTTGAAATCGGATGAATCATTTTGAATCACGTACTATAAACAACTAAAGGGTTTCATTCCAAAACACAGTAACCACCACACATTTTCATGATGTATGTTGTTGGGCTTTACACAAACAAAATATTTATGCTATATCATGCTTAATACTGCTTTTATTAGAGAAATATACATATTTTTTACAGTGCGTTATATGTCAGCTGTTATTCTTTTCAAATCTCTTCTTATTACAAATGAATACGCTGCATTATGGAATGAAACTCTTCAATTTCACAGGATGTTTTTACAGTCAATTTACAGTCAACATGAATCACAAATCATAACACTTTGTTCTCCTGCACTATGACGTATATCAGGGTGAAACTCAGTATCAGGGAGGGTCTGTGAGCCCAGCATTTTCTCTCCCCGACAGGTGAAACAGCATTGTCTTTCCCTGGCTGCTGGTGCATGGTGACGTAATCTGTTACAGGAACCCAAGAGTTCTGTCACACTGTGATGTGACACTGTTTCTCACCGTTACACAACTTTAAAAGCTGGTTTTTGTTAGTCTTCCTATTATCATCATAAATCATGCACTGAAAATCATGAAATGGTGTAATGAAAACTCATTAGTAGCAAAATAATTAACTAACCTACTGAAGCTGATCGTACACTCTCAAAAAACGTCCTCGAAACCATGAGTTCTATATGGAACCATTTCATGCTTAAATTGTTCTTTGAATGGTGAAATGGTTCTTCAGATTAATGGAGAATGCGTTGTATACGGTTCTATATAGCACCAAAAAGGGTTGTTCTAGTGTTACAAGCTTGAAATCATAAGAAAAGCAGAACCATTTTCGGTGCAGAACCATTTTCAAAAAGCTTCTATATACAATCATATAGAACACGCTCTCCATCAATCTGAAGAACAGTTCCATAATGCAAAGAACCATTTAGGATGAAGTGGTTCTATACAGAACTTATGGTTCTAAAGAGAACCATTCCATTTATCCTTTACTTAAGAACCCTTAAAGAACCATCTTTTTAAAGAGTGTAGCAAATATAGCCTGTTGCTTTAGGCAGATCATTAAAATATAAACTATCTAGATATCTTTAAAATTGTGTTAGTGTGTGTTGTGCTGGTCTGAGTGGATCAGACACAGCAGTGCTGCTGGAGTTTTTAAACACCTCAGTGTCGCTGCTGGACTGAGAATAGTCCACCAACCAAAAATATCCAGCCAACGGCGTCCTATGAGCAGCGTCCTGTGACCACTGATGAAGGACTAGAGGATGACCAACACAAACTGGGCAGCAGCAGATGAGCTATCGTCTCTGACTTTACATCTACAAGGTGGACTGACAAGGTAGGAGTGTCTAATAGAGTGGACAGTGAGTGGACACTGAGGTGTTTAAAAACTCCAGCAGCACTGCTATGTCTGATCCACTCGCACCAGCGCAACACACACTAACACACCACCACCATGTCAGTGTTACTGCAATGCTCAGCCAAACATCGGCATATTTTGTAAAAGCAGGTCCCGTCTGACTTTAACTCGAGCTCTAACTTAATCACATCAGCTACACAAATGTTTCCATAATGAAAAGTAAGATGGGTTTGAACTCTTAGTTCTAAGATGAGCTGAATCAGCCAGCCTTTGTTGCTGGCTAAGTTCAGAAGTGAGTGTGAGAGAAAACTCAGCTGTACTTGTTGGTTTGTTGGATAAATCAGCAGTTTTGTGGGTGTTTATCCTCACTGTGGCCTTCAGTGTAGGAGCGGCAGACAGAAGCACTAACCACATTAGCATCTCTATGCATAATTCATGTGTGCTTAATTCACATCTTTGTGGCTCACCGTCCAGCTACTAATGCCTTAAAGGGAAATTCCACCAATTTTTCCAATTTTCTCCATAATTCAGTGTGTGAGATGTAAACAGAGAGATTCAGAGTGGTTTGGTGTGAAATGGTTCAGATCTCTTTACAGTGGTGGTGATAGGAACCAGGGGTCGCCATGGCTACAACACAAATATAGACATTTTATTTACTATCCAGAACCACCAGTGAACCTACACGAGTCTTCTGAGTTTATATGGAATTTTGATGATGGAAAATAGTGGAACATCTGAAATAATTTAGTTTTATTTGGGGACTATTTTGCCTCACAACACCCTGCATATGATGTATCCCTCCACCATGAATGGATTAAAATACATATTAAGCCAAAACTATCATAAAACAGTGTCTCAGTCATCAGGCAGAGAATTCATAACCATTTCATGTAGTAACTTTCTGTGAGGGAGCTTTTAGAGGTGGACGTCTGGTTCCTATCACCACCACTGTGAACAGTTCTGACTCTGTAAGTTTCTCTAGAACAGAGCGTTTCACACCAAACCACTCTGAATGACTGTGTTTACAGCTTAACCTTTTAAAAGAAATCCCCTTTAAACCTAAAAAAAGTGTCCATCTAATAAGACACTTGCACATAAAACTATATTTCCAATGGTGTTTAATGTAATTTAAAGGTATAACTTATTTTTCCATCTAGTATTGCTGTACAACTTTGCTAACGGACACAGCGACCATTTGAGCCGTTGGTTGACATGGAGACCAACCGTCCTGTTTAGGTTTCAGTGTTAGTCTATAAGTGTTTCTCTGGTGCTGAAGCTGTTTCACTCACCGCTGTGTCTCCGCTGTGCTCACCGGTCTGCCGGACCTCCACCCTGAACCCCTCTGTCTGTCTGCCCGCTGCCTCCACTGCTCTCTCTCTGCGGCGCTCTGTGGAATCTGAGGCTGGACGCACAGCCAGGCTGGAGAGGAGGAGGGACACAGTAAGGGACATTCTCACTAAACGGCCTCCAAACATGTCCATAAATATTTAATCATCACCACCACGCAGACAAACAGTGTTCATATAATTTAATAGCTCAGCTGGAGCTCTAAACAAGATAGCAAAGGCATTAATAGCAAATTATTAATAATTTCCTATTTTCCTAAAGACCATTTTTTTAAATTATATATATATAATTTTACATAAGAACCCTCTTAAAGAACCATCTTTTTAAAGAGTGTAGCAAATATAGCCTGTTGCTTTAGGCAGATCATTAAAATATAAACTATCTAGATATCTTTAAAACTGTGTTAGTGTGTGTTGTGCTGGTCTGAGTGGATCAGACTCAGCAGTGCTGCTGGAGTTTTTAAACACCTCAGTGTCGCTGCTGGACTGAGAATAGTCCACCAACCAAAAATATCCAGCAACACACACTAACACACCACCACCACATCAGTGTTACTGCAGTGCTGAGAATGACCCACCACCCAAATAGTACCTGCTCTGTGAGGGTCCATGGGGATCCTGAACAAGATAGCAAAGGCTAAATCATTAATAATTTCCTATTTCAAAGACCATTTTTTTAAAATTATAATTATAAATATATATATATATATATAATACGTTTGTATTACTTTTAAAGGACATCTCCACCACCAATGTTTCAAAATTTCTGCATAATTAAGTGTTTAAGCTGTAAACAGAGTCGTTCAGAGTGGTTCAGAGTGGTTTGGTGTGAAACGCTCTGTTCTAGAGAAACTTACCGAGTCAGAACTGTTCACAGTGGTGGTGATAGGAACCAGACGTCCACCTCTAAAAGCTCCCTCACAGAAAGTTACTCCATGAAATGGTTATAAATACACTGCCTGATGTCTAAGACGATAGTTTTGAGAAGACTTTGGCCTAAAAAACATATTTTTAAAATGCAGTCATGTCAGAGAGCAGGGCGGGAGTGGGACTGGTTTTCAGACTGGGTCCCACTCCAAATTTCCAAACACGCTAATGTCCCACAGTGTAATTACATCAGGCTATAGGCTGTTCCCAACAGCAGTATAGTCATCACCCTACGTAATCCATCACTTCTGACTTGATATAAAAGAACAGCAACCCTTCAGAAAGCTGGATTCACATAAACACATCAAACACCGCGACACCCTTCACTATAAATCATATGTCTGCTCAGCACAGGTACCATACACAGGGGGTCCTGGGGGATCTGGGACCTCCAGTTAACCTCTTGGATCCCTTGAATGTCTCAAAATCATTATTATGACGTTATGCTGTCCGTTAGGGGACAAATAGTTACTCAAATATGGATTGAGTGAAGCTCATTGTTTTTCTGCTTCACCCACAATCAGCTTCTGTCTCTGGTGTTCTTAACTAACTGGAACTGCAGCACTGCTCTGCCTCAGGGTGGCGCTGTAGCAGACTGGTTCACCCAGTCGGTCCTTGATAGCCTAGAAACTGTAACTCTGCCCGGATTCCTCTGAAAAACTTCACAATGTGCTGCAGCAGATCTGAAAATCTGAAGGGAAACTTTGTACATTTCTGAATAATTCAGTCCTTCAGACGTAAACAAAGTCATTCAAAGTGGTTTGATGTGAAATGGATAATTTCAGAGAAACTTAAGACTCAGAGTTCTTTACAGTGGTGGTGATAGGAACCAGGGGTCGCCATGACTACAACACAAATATAGACATTTTATTTACTATCCAGAACCACCAGTGAATCTACACAAGTCTTCTGAGTTTATATGAAATGTTGATGATGGAAAATAGTGGAACATCTGAAATAAAAATAAGCTTTCCACCATAAATGGATTAAAATAAATATATTTTAAGCCCAAACTGTGTCACAAAACTATCATAAGACAATCAGACATCAGGCAGTGAATTCATAACCATTTCATGTAGGAACTTTCTGTGAGGGAGCTTTTAGAGCTGAACGTCTGGTTCCTATCACCACCACTGTGAACAATTCTGACTCTGTAAGTTTCTCTAGAACAGAGCGTTTCACACCAAACCACTCTGAATGACTGTGATTACATCTTAACCGTTTAATTGTGCACATTTTTTGAAAAATCGTTTCCATTTTAAGTACCAAATTTGCAGAAAATTGAGGACGACGGCGTTTTTATTTGTTTTCAGCTTTAGATTGATAGAAAATGACACACTTTAAGGTACAGATATACTTTTACACATCCAAAATTAGCAAACTTATAGCTTACAGTCGCAACTGGCGCTTCAAATTCAAGCACTGCTAACGCTAAGCTAGGTTAGCTAACTGGCCTGAAGTAACGGCGGTTAGCAACGGTTGCTAAGCAGCGATCGGAGACGTTATAGATAAAAGGCCCGATCATAATCGCCCTAGGGATTTTCATTTTTACCCATAATATTTTACCCAGACAACGCAGAATTACAAGGCGGCTGTGAGACGATGGTATATGCTCCAATTAAAGCCACGAGTTAGTCTGGTTTCAACTTGGTTTCTGAAAAATCGCGTTTTATTCCCCCATTTTAAAGAAATACATTACCCATAAGTCCTAGAGCGCGCTCCGCCAATCAGAGGCGTCGTTGTTGCCATGGAGATTCAAACAGTGTGGTTTGGCTCCGGAAAAGCAGTCTGTCAGCTTCGGAGCTGTACTGACTCTTTACGGCTTTTGGAAAGATATTTGTTCTTTTATTGTACAGAAATCTGATGGTAACTTTTGCTTTGCGCCTGTGTTGTTTGGTTTTATAAAGATCTCCCCGACCAGGCAGATAAATACTATATAAATGCTATATAATCAGTCTTTTTTTTTTGCCAGCTAAATGCCATGTTCATCAAGTTCAGTGAATTTTCAAAATAAAAGCCCCTTTTAATTTAATTTTTAACGTAGCCAAAGAGTATTTGAGTGTCTCCTTGCTCCTTGGAACTAAGTTGTAGTGGTTGAAATCTTTCCTCTGAAATGGGACCCTCAAATAAAAAGAGCATCACTTCATTAACAGCTACCAGCGCTGCTCTGTAGGCGACCCTGCCAGTCTGCAGTGACAGCAGAGGAGGGTAAAGTTCAGCTCCTCACTGCTGGGCTTTAGTTACATTTAGGGATCATATGCCTTCAAAGAGGGAGGCAATTATTTATTGTCACCCACCCCTAATTCTTCAGTGATATGAAGCTGAAGTCAGATATTCACCAGCTTCTCGTTCATATTTTTCAGTTCCACTTTAAATGGAGCAGCAATGTAACTGCTGGGAAATTTAGACATCAGCACTACTAGTAATTTTTTTGCTTGTTGTGAAGAAAATGACCATAATACATTGAAATGACAATAAATCAATATGATACAGTGGTTATTGTAATTTTTAACAAACAGAAATTAAATTTGTGGTTTCTTTGGTCACGTGTCCATCTTGCCTGTTTTTCTTTTTTTCTCATAACACTCTGGAGTCTCTTAAAAACCTCTGTTTGGAGGGTCATGTAGCTCTAACACTTCACCCAACCCCTCTATCTCAACAAGAATCAGGTTACCCCAGCCCTAGATGTGAACATGCAAAACAGAGGGATAAGGGCTAAATGGTAGGGCCGAGGGGTGAAATGGGACTGGGCCTTGAAAGCAATTACTGGTTCCAACAATAAACTGCCAAAACACTGAAATTATGTAGATCTTTTGATATTTTTGTATAAAGTATTTTTGTATTTTACAGACAGACATGGTGAACTCCTCACTTGCCCGGAGCAGTGGGCAGCCCTATCCACAGTTGGGGGTTGGGGGTTTTGTTCAAGGGCACTTCAGTCACGTACTGTTGACTCAGGGGATCAGACTGGCGACCCAATCAATCAATCAAGCAACCTTTATTTCAACTCAGAATTACATTGAGAATGACTCTCATTTACAATGTAGCTGAGCAAACACAGGAACTGAAACAGTTAAAATGAAATTTACCAACTAAAACAAATGGCAATAACTGAGACAAAAACATTTATTAAAATAAACAAATAAATAAAAATTTAATTAAAAGAAAAATAAAAGCTGAAATAGAAAACAGACATAAAATATTAATAAAATATACAATGAAAACACAATAAAATGAAGTAAAAAACATCTTAGATAGTAAGCAAAAAGAAAACAAAAACTTTAGAAAAATCTAATTATTTATATATATATATATATATATATATATAATATATATATATATATATATATATATATATATATATATAGTTTATAGCTCACAGTAATAGTGCCAAAACACTATCAGCACTGGGAATCCCCCCTGACTCTCCTGATTACCCACACTGACACTGGAAGAGAGTTTTTAATCATTTTTAATTATTTATTTATTTATATATTTGGTATATATTATAGTCCCCACATTAATCTTTTTTTTTTTCTTTTTCTACAAAATTCCTAACATCATCATTCCGTATAAAGCTCAGAAGACTCGTGTAGGTTCACTGGTGGTTTTGGATAGTAAATAAAATGTGTATATTTGTGTTGTAGTCATGGCGACCCCTGGTTCCTATAACAACTAATTAACTCAAGTTAAATGTAATATTATTGTATATTTTTTATATTAAATATTTCATGTCAGTGTTAATGTTGTTGTAGTAACTGCTGTTGGCCAGCAGATGTCAGTGCAGTATGGAGGACCAGATTTGCCAAAATGAAAAATAAATAAAATTAAAAATAAACGACTTAGTAAATTAATATATGGAGTAGAAGAATAATGATGATAAATAAACTAAAACTAAATATAAAACCAAAACTAAAAATAAATAAATATACATAATTAATATGTTAATAAATAAAATCTTATATGAATTAATATGTCTGCATTTATTTATGTTTATTTACTAATTTCCCCTCCTCACTAATTTTTGTATTTATTTATTTTGATATTTATGTTTCTTTATTAACAATTTTTTTTTCACTTTTTCTATTCATTTATTTCCATAACTATTAATTTATATATTTATTTATTTCCCTGTTTATTTATTTCTGTATTTCCTTGTCCTCATGCTAATAAAGGGGCTGTCAGTCAATGATGTTATAGCGTCTTAATGTTCCTATTGGTTGATCGATGTCAGATTCTGCAGATCGATTGTTCATGTCTTGCTCTCTCAGCAGTAACTAAGGTCCAGACAGTACAGTAACGGCTGCTTACAGCAGCAGACAGTCAGAGATCTGAGAGTCTCGGCTGATCTGGCTGAAAATGCAGGTCTGGATTATTGACTCTTCCGTTGGAGGCTGTGGGGACAGTTTGGTCCATTTTGCTGCCTCTGCTGATTCATGTCACACAGACATTCGGACGCCCTCCTCACATACAGCCTGTGGAGCCATCGAGAGTTATTCATCGGCAGGTTTGTCTGACACTGCAGCTCTTTATGGAGTGAAAGAACAGTTTAATCAGCTCTTCTCCTCCTGGGCCTGATTGCTGAGCCTGAACCTGAAAAACACGCCCCCTCATTATCATATGAACAAAGAAATACAGAAGTAAATAAATGAACTAATGAAAAAATAAATAAATAAAATACATGAATAAATGAAAAAATAAATAAATACATGAATCAATAAATAAAACGAACAATTGTTAAAAATATAAATACAGAAAAAATATATAAAAATGAACAGAGGCATTAATAAAAAAATTGATTGATTAATTTACTGAGCCATTTATTTTTTCATTTTCTTTATTTTTCATTTTGGCAAATCTGGTCCTGTATAAATGCCAAGCGTGGGCTAGAGGGGTCTAAAGCCCCCCAGCATTGGGCTGTGGAGCAGTGGAACTGTGTTCTCTGGAGTGATGGAGCTCCATCCAGTACCTTTGGGTCACCCTGGAGTGACCCAGAACTGACCATCCAACATCAGTACCTGACCTCAATAATGCTCAATCAAATCCTCACAGCAATGTTCAACATCTATTGTAAAGCCTTCCCAGAGGAGTGGAGGCTGTTACTGCAGCAAAGAGGGACAAACTCACTATTAATACCCTTCATATGTGTGTTATGAAGTCCCTATGTAGGTAGCCTTGGTTGACTGATGCTGTGAGGAAGAACAGGGAGGTTCTGTCAGGTTCGTTAAGGCTACCTTCACGTTACAAATCCGATTTTTTGCTCAAATCCGATCTCTCTGACAGGATGGTTCACACTCGTTTAGTTAAGTGACTCAAATCTGTCATTAATGTGATGAACCGGCGTCCTGAAATGACCCTCATGAGCTCATCCTACTCAGTAACGTCACATGAATGAATCACGGTCATCATCAGCACAAACTAACGAGCAGAACGAGCTTCGCTGAGAAGATAATTAACTCTGATCAGCTCTCAGCTTCATTATTAGAGTGAGACGAAGGAGAAAAAGGGGAGATGAGCTGCTTTTCCTCCGTTTACAGGCTTTAACCTCTGTTCGGCGCTGTTGCCATGGTAACGCTGAATGATGGCACAGTGGAAAAAAGCACATGAATTCCGATCTGAGCGTCACATTAAGGTCACATGGCTACGAATCGGATACGTGTCCGATCTAGGACCACATATGAAAGTGACTCAGGTTAGATTTAAAAAGATCAGATTTGTGTCCACACAGCCCTGAAAACATCAGATCTGAGTCACATTAGGGCAAAAAATCTGATTTGGGCCACTTCAGCCTGGTAATGTGAACGCAGCCTTTGATTTACTGTCACTGAGTCTGCAGCCCTGATCGGTCCTCTCTCAGCTTAATCTTGCTTAGCTGTCCATCCTTTTTCTACAACGTGGGCTCTTTAGTAAAGAGAATGGTTCTATATAGAACCATGAACACTCAAAGAACCCTTTGCATGATTGAACAGTTCTTTGCATGGTGAAATGGTTTTTCGGATTGATGGAGAACGTGTGGTATACAGTTCTATACAGCACCAAAAAAGCGTTCTGCTATTGTTACGATACAAGCTTGTTTGTAACTTTTTGGTGCTATATAGAACCCTTTTCAAAAAGGTTCTGTATAGAACCATCTAGAGCACGTTCTCCATCAATCTGAAGATCTATTATATGATACAAAAAGCCTTTTAATCATGTAAAGGGCTTTTTAAGTGTTCATGGTTCTATATAGATCAATTTTCTTTACGAAAGAACCCTCGAAGAACCATCGTTTTTAAGAGTTTACTATGAATCTTAATCACGATGAATGATTAGTTCAACAGTTCACATAAATATAATCTGTGAACAATGTCATAAACTGTGAATAAAATCTGATTACACAGGAAATAATAGATTACACAGACTGTCTAATAATAGACCACTGTAGTCGTGTCGTCATTTTGTAGTCGACTCCGTGTTCTTATGCCCATATTAGGAACTCCAGGTCTAAGCTCCATTTCTCTGTGGCCAGAATGAATAGGGTTTTCGAAAAATCGCCTCTATCGCCCCCTGTGTTCAATAAAAATGTTCAGAACCCGATACGTTCTGTCCTGTGAACATTCTTCTCTCGAATATCACTGGATCCTCTGAATTACGAGGTCGTTAAAGAGTTTAAATATGAATATTGCTACATGTGAGCTAAAGCTACTGCGCACTGAGTTCACGTCATTAGACTGGCAGCCTCCTTAATCAGGTTATCACCCCCTGATAAACTGATTTAGCCTCTCAGAACATCCTAATTATTTTAATGCTGGTAACATTTTTCTGAGAACATTTTCTCAGGACATTCCCCAGCTTTTTGTTTGACTTTTCCAGTTCCACCTTAAATGGTGCAGTAGTCACGTTCTGAACTGCTGCGCCATTTAAGGTGGAATGGGGAAATTCAAACAAGCAGCCGGCGAAAAAGAAACTGACTTCAGCTTCATGGAGGGTTGAAAGGCCTGATATGGGGAGGTTTCTCTATTTCTGCTGAACAGCTGAGTAACATTAACTTGTTTTTGCTGTTTCACAGAACCGACAGGTCAGTATTTTGTCTTGTTTGCTAATGTTCGTGATAACCAGTCACAGCTGCTGCACCATTTAAGGTGGAACGGGAAGATTCAAACAAGAAGCTGTGAAAAAAGAAGCTAAATTCAGCCTCGTAGTTTTAATGCTGGTAGTATTTGTGATAAGGCGGTTTAGCCCATCAAAATATCCTACCCACAGATTTTATTTACGGGTATATCTGTAATTATGCGCTACGGTAGGACATTTCGATAAGGTAGCACAGCTCGTTAGAGCACCACCACAGCCCGCCTTAGATTAGTGTAGCTTAGTGACATCAAATTGATGCGCAGTAGCTTTAGCTCGCATGTAGCAATATTAGTATTACGGCTCTTTAACGACCTCGTAATTCGGAGGATCCAGTGATATTCGGGAGAAGAATGTTCACAGGACAAAACGTATCAGGTTCTGAACATTTTTATTGAACACAGGGGGCGCTAGAGGCAACTTTTCGTAAACCCTATTCATTCTGGCCATAGAGAAATACAGTGTACTACAGTGGTCTATACATGCACATGTGAGTGTATGTGAGGCGGAGTCTGAGTGTTTCCCTCAGGGGCTGCGTTTATTGATTCGTGTCACGTTTACAGTGATGATGTCAGGAAGTCCCCCAATGACCAGCTGCTCTTTAATCTGTGAATAAACAAAGAAGCGAAAGTGTAAATAGAACAGATTCAGATCCGTTTAGCTCTGTGATTCTCTACCCTTAATGAGCTCATTTAAATATCACTTAAGTCCTTTGTTTTAAATTCCCTCTTATTTTTTATCCTACACACTTAAAAAAGTTGGTTCCTCAAGGGTTCTTTAGTAAAGAAAACTATTCTATATAGAACCATGAACACTCAAAGAGTTCTTATCATGGTGAAAGCGTTCTTCACATTGATGGAGAATGTCCTATAGATGGTTCTATATAGAACCTTTTTGAAAATGGTTCTACATAGCACCAAAAAAAAAGAGTTCTTCTATTGTTACAACACCTAAAAAGATGCTTCTTCAAGTGTCCTTTAGTAAAGAAAATGGTTCTTTATGGAACCATGAACATTCAGAGAACCCTATGCATGATTAAAGGGCTCCCTGCATCTCAAAAGTGATTATACAACCTTTTTGGAATGGGTTCTATATAGCAACAAAAAGGATTCTTCTATTATTACAATGTCAAGCTTGTTACAGTAGAAGAGAACCCTTTTGGTGCTATGTAGAACCCTTTTCAAAAAGGTTCTATATAGAACACATTTCCCATCGATCTGAAGAACTATATCACCATGCAAAGAACCATTTAAGCATGCAGATGGTTGTTTGAGTGTCCATGGTTCTAGATAGAACCATTAGGCCTCATTCACCATCTACAGCACATTCACCATCGATCTGAAGAACACTTTAATGATGCAAAGGGTTCTTGGTTCCATGCTCCATATAGAATAGTATATGTGGTATATATATACACATATATATATATCACAAAAAACATCTTTTTGGATATCAACTACTTGGATATCATTATAGTAACATCCTAGTAACACCTTAGCAACCACCCGGGATTCTGGGATACCATAGCAATGTGCCCATCAACACCTACCATCAAATAGCAGATAATGTTATTTATCCTGCACCTCTGTTTTCTCACGTGTCCCACACAGTGTGAGCTTTGAGTATTAACATGTAATCAGCCTTAAAGGTTCATGATCAGTGCAGTTCTATCATAACCCCAATCAGACGTGTTAGAGCAGGAACAGCTCCAGATCTGGTCCTGAGAACTGCTGGTTTACAGGCATGTCTTTCTGTTATTGGACAACACTTCATTTACCCAATGAACTTCATGTTAATGGAGCCAAACTGAAAACCAGTGGAGTGTTTCATGCACTTTCAGCACTGGGAGAGCAGCTCACCTTCTGAGACACCAGATCCCTGATCTCAGACTCTGACAGGTTCCTCCACGTCCTGAACGCCACCCTCAGTCCAACCACAGGATCTGTCTTCACTGAAAATCAACAGTTAAAACCACACTCACTCCCGGGATCTCATACAGCAGGATGTCTTGCTTATCTAGCCAAGTTAATTTGGTCTAACACTGGATTTTCTCTCTTATGACAGTGGATCAAATGCTCGTGGGTATATTTTGGTTTGTCCATCTGAATTTACATGCCTGAATCATAAGGCAAATTATTCAGTAACCGCATATAAATGAATGTACATTTTTATTTTATTTTATTTTATTTATTTATTTTTCTGTAAAAGCTCCCCTCAAATGAACAGAACATGTGTTTTATGATCACACATATTGCTATACACTTACAATTTACTGCTGAAAGCCAAAAATCTTAGACGCTCTTTGTATTATTTTATAAAAATAATTTTTACAGAGCAGATCACTGAAGAGACGCCATCTGTTTATAGTTTATAGCCCAGATTTGTGGATAAAAAAGTTGTGAGTTCAGCTTTTTTTATTATAAGAGTTTAAAATGACATCACCCATCTATTTGACTGGAAAGAAGACAGTTACAGCTCTCATACGACCCCCACCTTTAGAATGTAGCTTATGAAATATGAAAGTTATGAAGTAAAGAATATGAAGATGTGTGTTTTGGAACCACCGGTGGTTCTGAGGAGTTAAAAAGGTTAACCAGGCTATGGTAATTCATTCTGCTCCACAGCAGGTTAAGTTCAAGACTTCAGCTTGGAAAGGGCATTTGGACCAATCAGGGCAATCAGGTGAAATTGGACCCTCTTTGGTTTTTAATGGGTCACATTTATTGAGAATTGCTGCAAGTCATCAGTTATTACATTTTATAGTACACAATTTAAACCACTTAATTCAATGTTTCATGCAAATGTCTTTTCATCACAAACTTGACATTTTTACACTTTCATGTGAACATGCATGGAGATTAAAGGAGGAGTTTGAGTTTTTTTTTTCATTTCTGGAGAATTAAATGGTTAAAATATGGTTAAAATCTAAACAGAGTCACTTACAGAGTCAGAACTGTTCACAGTGGTGGTGATAGGAACCAGACGCCCACCTCTAAAAGCTCCCTCACAGAAAGTTCCTACATGAAATGGTTATGAATTCACTGCCTGATGACTGAGACACTGTTTTATGATAGTTTTGGCTTAATATGTATTTTAATCCATTCATGGTGGAAGGATACATAATGTGCAGGGTGCTATGAGGCAGAATAGTCCCCAAAGAAAACTTATTATTTCAGATTTTCCACTATTTTCCATCATCAACATTCCATATAAACTCAGAAGACTTGTGTAGGTTCACTGGTGGTTTGGATAGTAAATACAATGTCTATATTTGTGTTGTAGTCATGGGCTGCATTCACATTACAAGCCTCATTGCTAAAATCTGATTTTTTGCTCAAATCTGATCTCTCAGACACAATGGTTCACACTCGTTTAGGTAAGTGATTCAGATCTGTCATGATCTGTCGAAAAAAAGCACATGAATTCTGATCTGAGCGTCACATTAAGGTCGCATGGCCACGAATCGGATACGTATCTGATCTAGGACCACATATGAAAGTGACTCAGGTCGGATTTGAAAAGATCAGATTTTTGTCCACACAGCCCTGAAAACATCAGATCTGAGTCACATTAGGGCAAAAAATCTGATTTGTGCCACTTCAGCCTGGTAATGTGAATGCAGCCCATGGCGACCCCTGGTTCCTATCACCATCACTGTAAAGAAATCTGAACCATTTCACACCAAACCACTCTGAATCTCTCTGTTTACATCTTGACCAAATTTTGGAATGATAGTCATTGCAAAGTGAGTTAAACACAGCTGATCGTCTTAATGTGTTTAATGAAAAATCATATACAATGAAAAAGATTTCGGGGATTAATTTCTATTTGATGACTTTTTAATAAGGACAGAGCTGAAATTTACTCACCGCTGTGGCACACGAAAGGCCGAGTGTCCGTGCAGTAATTATCTGTCCACTTTCCGGAGTCGTAAATTGACGTAGCGGTACAGTACGGCGTTCCTTGATACAAATGTGGCTGCCCAGCAGCCCAGTATCTAAAAGTGGAGTTACTCCCGTCTGACCACGTGAGAGTGTTGGTCCTGTACAGGCCGATATAGAAATGGTGGCTGGTCTGAATGCTGGCGATCATGAGGTCCTCAGACACGTCTCTGGCGCTGGCGAGATCAGTGTAGTGCTGCCGGCAGTAACTCTGAGCATCAGTGAAGTTCATAAACAGCGCTATTCGGACGTAAGGCTGGACAGCGCTATCTCTCCCTGGAAGGAAGTGTCATCAGAAGATAAAAGGTTCTGGTTATAAGAAAGGTTCAGCAAAAAAAAACTCATTTACACAACTGTCCCCTGTTATGACCCCCATTATGTGGAGAGCTGTGATTAGCCAAATGGGGGCGCCCTCAAATATAAAAGGTGCCTGACAAGGCACCACAAGCAGAGCACTTGTAAAGAGGAGAATTACCACTCTATAGTGTCTTCTGGGTTTCTCAAACACTAGAGGGCGCTCCCAAGGGAGTCCAAAATGAATGTGTGAAGGTGGAGCATTTGGGCAAAATCATGGTGCCTCATGTAGTTTAACACACTGTAGTGACTGACCACTTCTGTCCCAGCTGTGTGGAGTGAACACATTTAGTGCTACTAAAGCTGGAAAAGGAAGCGTGACTCTGAGTCCCGAGTTCTTCTCAGAGAACCTTACCATCATAGCAAATGAAATACTGAAGAACGTCACAGCCGACGTCGGACCAGAGCCCGTTGTACAGAGGCTTTAGCTTCCAAATGCACTGTCCGTCCAGAGGTCGTCCAGGGTACCAGTTGGTGTAAGTGAGTTCCGTAGGACCGCCGGAGTTGCGGTCATCCAGGGACCACCTCCATGGATTTATGACGTTGTACAGTCCGATCCAGGCCGAGCCGTTGTAACTGCCGTTGACAGATGCGACCAACTGGTTCATGTCGTCCATGTTCTGCACCGTGGCCAGGTCATCGTACTGCTCTCTGCAGTACCTCTGGGCTTCTGTCCAGTTCCTGGACTCATTTACAAAGTGATAGCGCAGAGAGAGGCCAGAGGCCAGCGTGAAAAAACCTGTGAAAAACACTCAGATTTGTTATGAACCTCTCTTCATCTCTCACTATATGAGTTCTATCGACACTCTTAAAAAAGATGGTTCTTCAAGGTTCTTCCGTAAAGATTTTATTTTTATATCACTCTGTAATGGGTTTGGTCAGGGAACATAACTGAACCATAATCCACTGAAATGATATGTTCTAAGCTGTACTGACTCCACACACCCCGTCTCGTCTCCAGGCTTTTATTTTACTGTTCTGTTTTAAAACATTCGGTTATGAAAAGGTACAAATATGAACTTTTCACCTGGAAAAACTTATTTAAGGTTCACAGTCAGACCTTAAAACCACTGTTGTACCTCTGAGGGAACATTTACATTGTTTCTACCCTGATGAATGAGAAATGTACCTGAACAGAACCTTTATTTCTAACAGTGTGTGTTACATGTCATATGTGTGACTCACCAAGACTGATTCCCTGTTTGTGTAACACACCTGGCAAAATAAAGTGATTCTGATTCTGATTCTGAATCTGACGCAGACTCTTTCTTAGAACCTTTCTCAAGAACACATTTAAGAAAAAACTTCCAAAGATATTGGAGAATGTCTTTCATGAAGAACCATCTTTTTTTAAGAGTGTACCTTATAGATCCACCATGAAGGTGTGCAGTTATAGACAGTTAGAAAGTCACATAAATAGTAATAGACTAGTGACTCACCTGTGATCAGCAGCAGACCGATGCCCATGGTTGAAGTGCTGCTAGAGTGGACAGCTGGCTGCTGATATGTGGTAGACGTGTGGGGACGTCCCTCTCTTCACGCTTCCTCATGACAGTCAAAATATAGACCTTAACTTCAGTTCATCACAACAGATAAGACAGGTCATGTGTCTGGGCAGGGTGGTGTACTGGATTCTTTGCTCTTCACCTGAGAAATAAAGGACCTACACTCTTAAAAAAGGTTCTCCAAGGGGTTTTAGCAAAGAGAATGGTTCTATATAGAACCATGAACACTCAAAGAATCATTTGCATGCTTAAATGAATGTCTGTTTACATGGAAAGATTTTGTCCAATCCGATTAAACACATTCCGATTGTAGATTAAGACTGAGGTGTTTATGCTCACTCTACTCAACACTCTGATGGAAAACCTCTGTTTACATGCCAAAATGATGCACGTGTAGAGAACCACTTAGTGTAGACGTTACCATGACAACGAGCATCATGTGAGTCCAGTCAGAGTGAGACGAGCAGCAGTGAGCAGTGCTTGTGGTTTTAATGACTTTAAAATGATGTCAGACTCAGGAAAACGTCCTTCACCTGTCCTTATTAAAGAAGGCCAAGAGGAAGACGTCGTGTTCTGAGACACATAAGCTGGACGTCCGTCCCACCGCCGTCTTTTAAAGATCAGAGCATAAACTTCGTCTCCTCTGCAGACCAGTTTCTGCTCCGCCATGTTGAACGGTATAAACTCTCACTATGACGTGACGAACATGATCAGAACGGACTTAAACTTTCCGATAGGGAATGTAATCAGATACAGGCGTTTACATGGATATTATTCTTCTATTTAACAGATTATTTACAGGATTACCCACCTTGATCAATCGGATAAAAACTGTATTCCTAATGGCCTCAACTGGACTAGACTATTCCGATTGAGGTGTTTACATGGACGTATTCTATTCCGATTGAGCTATTAGTCAGATTAATAATGGATTATTAGGCTGCATGTAAATGTGGCTATTGGTGGAGAATGAGTATAGATTGTTCTCTATAGAACCTTTTTGGAAAGGGATCTATATACAGTGGTGCTTGAAAGTTTGTGAACCCTTTAGAATTTTCTATATTTCTCCATAAATTTGACCTAAAACTTCATCAAAGTCAACATGTAGTAATAACAGATCTGTAATATTGGACCATTTTCTTCAATAAATAAATGACCAAGTCTAATATTTTTGTTTCATTTGTTTACTTTGGTTCTCTTTAGGACTTGTGTGAAAATCTGATGAAATTTTAGGTGAAATATTTGCAGAAATAAAGGGTTCACAAACTTTCAAGCACCACTGTAGCAAAAAGGGTTACTAAAGAACCCTTGAAAAAACATCTTTTTAAGAGTGTTGAAGAGCTGATGTTTGAAAAAACTAACTAGCATAAAAAGGAGTGCAGATTTGATCACCTTTAACCCTCTGGGGTCCACAAACTCACCTATGTGCCATATTTGATGTTTCTATCTCTGTGTCTGTATCTTTGTGATGATCCAGCTCAGAAATCCAGTTCAAACACTTCCTGAATCTGTAGAGTCGCCCTTTCCATCCCATCTTATCACGAGATCATACGAGACTCACATCCGGAGTTATGAGCCTATATGAGGGGCTGATATACACGTCATCTGCCTCTCACCGTGTGGAACTGGTGGAGTCGGGTGTCTACATGTCTACATGTGTGAAACTGACCAATGGACACTCAGGAAATCACTAAGGACTGACCATCATGCCGGAAACCCTTCATTCTTCCTTCAGTCCACATCGGAGACTCATGAGCTCAATGGCATGTAGAGAGTTTACAGCTGCTGAAGCTGCTGAGGTTTGATATTAAAAATATGGGAATTATGTTGAAAGGAGAATTTAAGAAGCTATGTAAATATTGAGAAAATGCCCTCAGACCCCAGAGGGTTAATGATGTTTGAACCACTCTGTGTCTGATTCATGGAAGTTGTGTAGGACGTGGAAAGAAGCAGAGATTTGAGCACAAACGAATCAGCTTCGGTGCATGAAATCAAGCGCCAGCCTACCAACACCTCATTTACACATCAGTTACATAAAGCATGCATCTGTTTCGATGAGGAGCCAATAAAACAACAGTGTTCAGCGTTGGAGTTTGAGGTTGCACAGCTCCCCCTACTGACCAGACTGTATAATATATTAAAATTACGACCACTCGAAGAATAAAAGGTGAAAAAAGGTGAAATAAACAAAACATCTTAGTTGTTTTAAGATGGTAGTAAGATGCGAATTTGTATTGTAATTATTCTCCCAAAATATCATGTTTAAACGCTGTATTATTGTAACGTATGACACTAGCTGTGTTGTGTGTTGTTTATTTTGTGGGCGGAGTCAGTAGTATAACACAAAAGCACAGTGTAATATGTCTTTAAATGGATTGGGAACAGTTGCAGTGTTTGTTTATATCAGTGTGCTTGTAAAATAAGCACAACCACTTGTCCTGGATTACCATGTGCAAGAATTATTCAATTTTTATCCTTATTATTGGTGTTGTAGATTATTTTGGTAATACTCTTGGTTAGTCAATTTCAAAATCAAGGATTTTGTATGTTAGTGAGATAATTTTACTTAATAAAATGGCTTAAAACAAGTAAATAAATGTCTAGAAATAAGCTATTTTGATGACTAAGGACCATTGTGATAGCTTTGTACTGATGTCCTCTCTTGTAATATTATGAGCAGATTATATAGCAGGAAAATAATGACATTGATTAGCCATATATAAAAACAGTGCTGTTTTTCTGGTTGCCATAGCGACCCTGCATGCTTAACTTCTCCACTGTTTCCAGACTGTTCTACGCAGTTTTACCACCGTATCTTGAGGCCTCAGCCTGCAGGACACTCAGACACACAAACATCCATCCACCACTTATCTAATCTGAATCTCAGCCGACATGAATTTCTTCATTCTTATGCAAAAAAGCCACAGAGAACAGCAGCTCAAACAAATCCACCACAAACACTTCGAGCAGTTCTTGGAAGCTGATGTACACATTCACATACACTTTACACATGAATGTATCTTTTACATTGAGACATTTTGGGCACTTTCCCCTTTTTTGATGTATATGATACCAGTTTTTGGACTAAAATTCATATTCACACTTGTTTTTTTCAGTTAGTGTCTTCATTGTGAACTCATATGCACCAACACTACATTTTTAAAGCTAAATACAATAAAGAAAATATAAAAAAAATCAAATATGCTTCTTGCATAAGTTTTCAAACCCATGTGCTCTGGAGGCTCCAAGCTCAAACACACAACAAGCACACAAACATCGTTTTTGGACTGTTTGTGAACCATTAAATTATATTTTCTACATTTAAAAATCACTTTGAGGGACATTTGTCAGGGTATGCTGCTGTGGGAAAAGTTGTGAATGAAGAACAAAGACTACATTATTCACAACTTAAATTGTTCTGAATTCTAAATAAAACATTATTCAGAAGTTAAATCAGAACTATGTAATATTTTCTTGTTAAAACTGTTAAAAGTAGTCACATTACTAAGTATGGAGAATAAAAAAACACGTTAAAATATGGTGGGACTGCACCGCTGAGGCGCCCTGTAAAGCCTGAAATATTCATTTACAAGTCATAGAGTTTTTTAGACCACCTTGTACATCTTTAAGTATGAAGTGTTTGAATTCTCTTTCAATGCACGTTTCGGGCTCCGAAGCGCACCTGACATACAAAATGTTCCTCTGCATGTTGCATGCAATTACATATTTCCACCAGAGAGGTCTCCAAATCCCCAAAAAGTACATAGTGTTTCTTTAAAGTAGTATAGTACGCATGAAAGTCCATGTTTGGATCTCCTGAAGAGCACTACTGGATTAATAATCAGAATATTAAGGCTGCACAAGACCACCCAGTCGATAAAAGGCATTTATAAGGAAATGTGGGCAGCGTCCTGTGACCACTGATGAAGGACTAGAGGATGACCAACACAAACTGTGCAGCAGCAGATGAGCTATCGTCTCTGACTTTACATCTACAAGGTGGACTGACAAGGTAAGAGTGTCTAATAGAGTGGACAGTGAGTGGACACAGTGTTTAAAAACTCCAGCAGCACTGCTGTGTCTGATCCACTCAGACCAGCACAACACACGGTAACATACCACCACCACGTCAGTGTTACTGCAGTGCTGAGAATGATCCACCACCCAAATAGTACCTGCTCTGTGAGGGTCCATGGGGGTCCTGACCATTGAAGAACAGTTTTAATGTTCTTCTGGAAGTTTAACTTGTCCGTCAGGGGAAACTCTGAGTACACATCTGTGTTCATGATAGAAAAGGGAAGTAAATGACTCCTCCTGTGCCCAGAGCGGGGCAGGACAGGCTTCATATGTCAAATACCTTACTGACAGAGGTGCTTAAAAACATTCTGTAATGCAGAGATTGACAAAGCCAGTCATGTGGAAGACACATAACTCAGGAGGAACTTCAGAAGGACCCGATGCGTTGAATCAGGTGTATTAGAGGAAGAAAAATACAGAGAAATCCGATCAGAAGGGGATGTCCAGGTGTGGAACTGAGAACCACTGTTCTAAAGAACATGCAGGTGAAAAAAAACAACAAACAGGTTACTTGATACGTTTTAATCAACATCAGATCTAAAGAAAGTCACAGATAGAGCTTCCTCGTAGATGAAGCACAAAACTGAATGATTATTCCCAGCATATCATATAATATTAAAATAAGCATCATCTATCTAAGCTCATCTAACTGATACTTTGAAGTAAGCAGTTCCTTATTTGGCTGGAAAAAAACCCAGACAACAAGACTTCCTTCATGTTTGGGACCTGGGTTACGTTCAGTCTCGAAACATCGCACTGTTTTGTTACAGTTTCCGGGTTCAATGACATGTTTTGTTGAAACGGTGTGCAGCAGGCTTTGAGGTTCATGTTCTCTCATTTGATGGGCCTGTCAGAGGTGTTACCCAGTCAGCAGCGACATGTATA